TCATCAATGGAACAATATTATAGTCTGAACCGATAAAATCTGTTGTATTATATTTAGATTTTCTTAATCGTTCATTGCAAAACATTATCAAAATAAAGCATGTCTTGAAATAATTATAATCACATAACAAATTTAACTATTAAAAAAAATAACCTTGCTTTATTTGTTTGTAAGAAGATTTTTTCTTTATGTACACAACGCTAAGGTTAAGTAAAAATGATTCATTATAGTTTAAAAGTAACTTAAATACATATTTTTAGAATTCTCACCCTTGAAGTTAAAAATTATTTATAGGAACATGTATCTGTTATCGTAAAAATTTCAAACAGAGATAATTTAATTAATCCTCAGCTTTATTAAGGGTGTAAGTATTAATTAGCTCAGCTAATTAATACTTACACCCTTAAAATTAACTCAAAGAAATTAAAAGCTAATATTTGATTTGTATATAAATGTACAAAGAAATATTCTAGAAGTAGTATATTATACCTAATTTCTACCGTTTTTATTCATTTAGTAAACAGTTTTAGTAAACATTATAAAATGAATAATTTCAAGTGCTTTACTAAATACATACACTAAATAAAATATTATGATACAAAGAAGTAGCCCTAAAATTTGTTATCTTTATATATTCATGTTTATTATATTGCTCTAACACTTGGTTTATAATTTATTTGTTTTTAATTACTAGTTTCTATTTAGAATGTTATTTTATCTATAGATCTTATCCAATTATTAGTATGTTAGTGACAAAATAAATGGAATATCTTTTTAGTAAGATAAATTCTATGCGAATATTGTTCAGTTATATTTGGAAACATAATATTATTACCAAGATTTAATATTAATCATATTTTTCAAAAATGTTATATTTGTGTACGGATTTTCGTTATTTTATGACAAAATTATACTAGTCGTGTATGAAAGTATATGTATTATATTGACTTGTAGAAATTTTTGGATCATTTCTTACAGTGCAGTCAAAAGTATTAGTACTTGAAATTTAATGTTCTTTTCGGATTATTACTTTATATATGTAATACATTTATTTTATAATTTAAGTTCCGCGTTTGAATATTTCTATCAAATATAATTCAATTTCTAAACAAACATTTAATGTTATAATACTCTTATTTGAATGAGTTAAATACTTGGACATGTTTTCCTCCTTTACCCGTTATTGCGGTATTTGGAAATACGATGTTAATTTATTGAATAATACAACTTAAACTTGTAATCTGACAAGGTGATGTACGGTTGACTTTCCACAGTCTCGGCGATTATATCAGAAATGTATAACGAATGATTCATTCATGTGATATTAAAATCATTACGAGAAATAATCAGTTGACAAATAACAGACAGTATCAAGGCCGTCGATATTAATCTCTTTGCATAGAAGCTTTTTATATAGTCTGACCTCAAGTCATTTGATCGTTATTAATAAATAATATGCTTCCTAAGCGGTTTCCAGTTGGGTGTTAAAAAAAACTCCCTTTTGTCCCTCGGAATCGGCTTTACTGTCTTTGTCGTCTGCAAATATTATTATAAAACGTTTTCCATTTGTGAACTCTGTTACGACGTTGGGTCTGCAGTGAATAGCGCAGTGATTGTATAATATTACACAGAAATAATAATAGCAACACCGCGTAAGTTCCGTGGCACGTCCCTCCTTATGTCATTAGGTAAAATAATCCGCAACGTGCATTATAATAAAACAATGTCGCCAAACCGTTCTCGGCTCTGCTAATCGCGTTTAATTTGTAATAGACACAAAAGCGAACCGCCCTTATAATGCATCTTTCCCGCTCGCCTACCCCAATACATTGTCTACATTTGCGGGATTTGCCATTTTCTATTATGAAATGTATAGCATGAATGACAGTTATAATATATGTGAATGAACCGTGGGTGTACTTGGTCCAAATGTGGTTTTTATGCGTGGAGAGTACACCTTTACGACTTACTCTTTCACTCCTCCCATCGTGCTCGATACGATATTGTGTTTGTGAGTTGTGCAAACGTAAAAATCAGTCTGAACAAAGAAAACAGCAAATTCAATTACGGAATTATTTTTCTTCGGTTTTTTCTTAGAAAATATCATAGTATATTATTATTATTTTTTTTCATATTTGAAGACAACGCTATATCTCCAATAAGATAGATTTACTTGCCATAACGAGAGGATTATATGCAGTAAAGATTTTTTTATTTTGAAATTCATATACTTCAAAAATATTAGAAAACTCTATTATGGAAAATGAAATACAAAATATTGTCAAACGACAAGTCCGACAATAATCTTCTTTATCTAGTTGTTGACGGACGTTAAAGTACTATCACCTAATCGGGTATAAACATATTTACAGAACTTTTCTAAAAATAAACTATAAATTCTCGAACACTCTGAAAAATTGTTGTGCAGAAATATAGCTAAACTTTAGCTACATTATTGATTATAACTTGTAAGGCAAAAAAAAGTATTTTCGGCAAATATTAAATTTGTTCGATTTAAAAAGTACACTTTCAAAGTAAATCTTTAGTTTTTCACAGTCGACTGAATTTTAATAAATAAATAAAAAAAGAAAAGTTAGTGAGTACACAGAAAATATTATAATAGTAATTCTTGATGGAAGTGGGACTTCGGCAGAGTGCTTTTGTCGTGCATCGTATTACATGTAGTGAAATGATTCATTGGCTCAGCATTTGAAAAACAAACGATTTCAAAGGCCCCAGTGCACATTTCCTAAATTGCGAGGCACTAGGATTATTTTTATACGATTATGTGCGTGGACAATACATTTAGATTGTGGAAAATCTGCGATAAATTCCACGCGAATTTATTGCGTAAGACATATATATGAACAAAATATAACATTAAGGTTTAAAATGACTAAATAGGCCACCATGTGCATTAAAATGAAAAATGTAGTACCTATCGAAGCGTGTAAATTATGCGTATAATGCATGTCGTAAATGTAAGGAATTGACTTGCAAATTTACAGCCTTAAATCAAAGGCCCGTCATATACTTGCGCAAATCGTTAATTCATTTAGGCTTATGTGTGTAGTATCAAGTCACTCGGATCAAATTTCCGTGACTAGCTTTATACGCTTTAGGGGCAATCATTTTTTCATAGACTTATGACATTCGTTGAAAATGACATAATAACATTTGTCTAGTACGTTGCTTTGTTAAAGTACATACTTACCCGTGTAAAAATAACTGATATTCAAATCATACCTCTAAACCGGTTTAATTAAGCTACCATTCTCAAAATTCACATTCTCCGTTACTATTTGTTAATATTATTTCGTTTTTGTTGATAAATCGTATCTTTAACATGTTTACTAACTTGATTATTTGGTATTCACTTTACAGTGACATTTTCGAATAGCAGAAGTTCTCCTATTTATTTTCCAATCTTTACAATTCACATACATATAGTATAATAGTGTAATTTAGTATATGTGTTTTATAAAATTGAACATTTTCTCAGTCAAAAAATAGAATTTTATTACTAGAATTTCTTAAAATCATGTTTTTACAGTTCTTAAATGTGGTTTACTTGTTCATTTTAGCTTACCACGTTATGATTAATTTCAGTACACATATGATACGGATTAAATAAAAAAACTAAATTATGTATGACTGGGTAGATTTAAATTATTCAAAGTGTTTATATCCTTATTAACCTAATCGTCCAGACACGAATCCACATGACATTATTAATCCTAATAATCAGACACTGGTATATTATTTTTTCTTGATAACCAAAGAACATTGTATTTATTGTTAATGTAAATCCATTCCCTGCGGTCATACTTTTTAATTATTTTTTCTTGTTGAAATGATTTTTTATTCTTTTAGAATATATTTTCAGCAAAGTAATCAATTCAACTCTACTTTTGTTTTTCGGCTAATTCATTTTAAATAAAATATTTATTAGAAATAATACGTTTATTGTAAAGTTTATTCTATACGAATTAGTATTAATTAAGTTACTTCCAATAAAAAATTATATCAATTATTAAATGACGCATTTGTATAATAATATTTATTGTGATGTTTTCACGTATAAAAATGCTAGCTGCTATACTGCTCTAATTATTGTCAAATCACAATCATTTACTATTTCCCAGTTTTTCTTATAGTCAATTTCATTATTTCAATGCATAGAAACAAATTTAAAATACAGTAATATTGTCAAAGAAAGATAGAAATCTAGTTAGTAAGTGGTTTGTAGGGTAGTAATATTTAGTGTATCCTTATATTTCATTATGAAAACTCATTGATTTTATTACATTATTATTTTTTTTAAGACTATTTTTGTAATTTAATTTTTGTCTTCAAATTAACATAAACACTAATAATTTCTTTCAAATCGAGGTAAAGTCAATTAAAATGGCTTTTAATATACATATATATATATATATATATTTAATACTTAATTTGAGTTTTCTAGTATATTAGTAACGTTTAAAATTATATTTCATTTTCTATACGTAACGCTATTGCTTAGCATTTGTAAAAAATTTAATTCTTAATTAATTATTATCCAGATTTTAAACATGTTTATAAATGATTGTGATAACATTCAGTTTTAAAATACTCAAAATATTTAAAACATTCAATTTTTGTTCATAGCATATATAATGAAAGTTTTATTTATGCAGTGACTTTTTTGTTAATAAAAAAATCAGCTCTCAATAATACTAGCTTTAACGCAAAGCTTACTATTAAATTTCTCTTACTATTTCAGAGTTAAAAAAAAAACAATTTTTATGCTTTAATTTATGTAAATTATTTCTTTAGATACATTGTGACGTTTAAAACTAAGTCCTACATTAATTTTTAAAAAGCTTGTTGATAATGCTTACTAATTAAAATGGCCATAAAAACAAAGAATATTATACTTATTTTGATCATAAATTATACATAGTTTTTAATGTAAATGCTGGATTTCAAAAATAAAAATGTTTATTTATTTTTAACAGTGTTGATGGAAATGAGAATAGATTTTTAAGAGAGTTTGTGAATTGTACGCCTCATTCAGCCGGTTGCAGATTAGCTAGATGGTTACAACCAGAATCTGTGGTTGAACCAAACTCTTGTGAAGTGACCCTTTCTACTGCCGAAGTTCGATGTGGTTGGCCAGCTAAGTTCACTGTACGGACTCGTGATCAATATGGTAACCTTGTACATTCTGTTGGATCAAAGGTAATGTGACCCAATAAAAAAAATCTATAAGAGAAAATTATAAAAAATTCAATTTTTAAAAATTAATTTTGATATATTATTTATTTTTCTATTTACTTAGGTTGAACTAATTGCTCAATCAAACTTCAAAGCTAAGATAAATCCTTATTCAGAAAGATGTTTGACTGTAATAGACGACAAGTACTTTGGGGGAAATCCCATACCAAAAACCCATATTCCGTATGAAACTGTTATTAAAGATAAATTTAGATATCAAGCCATTACTTTCATGAAAGCAAGTATAAATAACATAATATAAAATGACAACAATTTTATAAAAATTTTCGTTTTTTTCACAACATCAGCGGAATTGTTTTTTTTTTGATTTTTTAAAAAAATAGCCTTTTACATTTAATCAGAATTGATTAATGTTTTCAAAGCCACAATAGGGATTGTACACTATGTATAGTATAGAATTTTACATAATTTTTCTCAGGACTAAAATCCTTACAAAAATTTAAAAAAATATTAATATAATAAATAAATTAAAAATTATTATAATAAAGTGTTTATACTAAACATATATTCTTATAAAAAAATTATATTAGCCCAATAATTAAAATAAAAATTTTTTTTTAGTGTAGAAATCAATTTATATTTGTTAATTGAAGTTTTTGGACGAACTATTTGTCTAAAATTTATTTGAAAATAAATTTTTATTTTATTAACAAACTTTACTTCACAATTCCTTTTTTTTAACATTTCAGATATTTATGACTCAATAGTATCATTTTTTTTTTTTGTAACGAATCTTTAATATTTATTCAACATACTAAAAATATTATTTGTATGATAAAAAAAATATTCATAAATAATAACCCAATTTCAAGTATGTCATTTTAATCCTTGAATCTATTAACTTTATACTAGCTTAATAAAATGACAGATTATTAGGTTGTCAATTTTTATATATTTAACTTTAAAATTTTTAAATTACTGTCTATTTTATTTATAGCAATATGAAAACTATTCATTTGAAGAGCTTCGTATAGCCTCTCCGTCAATAAAAGGCGATTCTGAAAAGTTACTTATGCAATCTAAAGGAAACGGGACCTATACTGTTTATTGGACTCCTATGACTATTGGTTATTATGATGTAAAAATAGAAATTGACGGCTATCCACTAACGAATAACGTCAAAAGCGTAGTTGTAAAAGAAGCTCCTTTTAATGGTGTCAGAACTGCTGAACAAGGCCAAGAATCTATAACTCCAGTTACCAAACTTCTACAACACGTTGGAAGGTATAGTGCAGGACTCAGGATTAGAACTCATCCTTCTCTGCAATCAGAAAAAATAGGAATAATACCTGTTAAAGGTATTATTGGATATACAGACGAAGTATGTGAAATTTATACTCAGTAAAAATTGTTTAAATATATTGTTTCTATAGTTAAAAGATATGTTTTATTAAACCATTATTACTTGTGATCTATTTCTATAAGATTTTTAAGTACCATTTACCATACTAAAAGTATCATAACTATTTTACTAAGGTAAGCAATGATGATGGCGATTGGGTATTATTGAATTCGGATACAGTACAAAGATATTGTCATCAAACTCTTCCTTGTATTGAAGCATGGACAATGAAAACATGTAGATACTTGAATGGTGAAAAATTTTTGGTATCAGTCAATGATAAATGTAACGGAGATAAAAGTATAAATGAAAAATTAACATCAACTTCTGTAGTACTTCTTAAAGCGATTAAAGATGTGTAAGTAATTTTTTATCTATTTACATGAACCAATCTACATTTTTTATGTTTTTAATGTGATTAAGAACTACACTTTTTTTTTGTAAAGCAGGTTTTTCTCTTGATGCTTTCTTAAAATTGTTATTCTTGTTGTGGCTACTATAATTTATAATTTTTTGTTTTCCTAAGAATTTTGCATGGAAAGTATTATTATTTAAACAAATTTCATACAAGTCTAGAAAAAACTATCAAATAGTTCAAAAACCAAATAATATTTTTAATAAAATGAACTATAATAATAACTTTTTAATATTTCTAAAATAAAATTTTAAATAAACTCGAAAATCAACATACTAGAGAAAAAAAGACGTATTAAAATATATTTTATAATTTTAAATGATATTAAATAAATCTCGAAAAAAATGATAAATAACATAATAATTATATTGTTTTTAACTAAATAAATTGTAGATAATGGCTATAATAATAATAATAATAATTAAATATATTATCAGAAATTTATGATAATAAATGTACTTAATATATGTACTTCTCTCCATATATGAACTTACATAAAATTCATAAATTTTGATTAAAATTATCATTATTACGAAACTAAAAATATTATTTGTTATAATTATAAGTATCTATTAGGTTGAAAATTTTATAAAATCAATTTGGACTGTTATAAATTTATATCTCAGGTTTATTTATTTTTATAACCTTTTCATAAAGTATGTTAAGAAAGTAAAACCAAACATAAGTTACTAAAAAAAAATGGTTAATCAACTTTAACATACCTTATTGAACTTCGGAAAACTATAAAAAATAAATGTAGCGCAAAATTAATGATTAAGAGCACTTTTATTTATTTTCGTTTCTACCAAAACTACTTAAGAGTGAAAAAATTTTAAAGCATTTTTACAACAGTTTTTAAAAAGGTTTTATTTCAAAAGCTGTATTTTATAAATGCAATTTATATTTTTCGCTTTAGTGTCTATTTTCGCGACTAGTAGGGCCCTAGACAGACTTAATTTATTATCAGTTTTAGTATCACAGCTGGCTGCCACTTAAATACTGACCAAACAAGATATAAAACGTAGAATATTTTTTTTTAATTTTCTCAATCTCTTATCAATATGAAAATCACAGTACTATCCCAAAGTCAAAAAGCATATAAAACTTATTATTATAGCAATTTTTTAGAATCTTATTTCCTATTATTTAATATTTAAAAATCAATGAAATAATTTTAATCTAGTAACAAATGATTTTAACAATTATATTCGTTGATTAAAAATTAAATTGTAGTAGTTGTTAAATAAAATTATAAATGTGTAAAAAATGTTAAATTTTTTTATTGAATGATGATCTACTATTGTATTCCAAAAATAATTTAGTTTACATAAAAAAAAAGATCGAATTATTTTTATATAAAAAATAGTACATTAAATAACATCACAAAGTAATTACTGTATGAGTGTTAATTATCTATATAATATTAAATATTTATTAAATTACTTTAATATTTATGGTAAAATTAAGGAATGTTTTTTTAAATAAAATGTGGTAATAGAGCAGTATTTTAAATTAATGATTAACAATAAATTATATTAAAAAAATTATCGTGTATTCATTTTATTTTTGCAGACCAAAAATATTAAAAGATCATTTTTTCCCTACAAACTATAAAGTAGTAATGTGTGGAGCTTCTGGTCATAACATAAGGAATCAACCGACATTTAAAGCTGTACCGGTTGGAATACTTGTTCAAGGCAATGTGATAACAGCTGTAGATAAAGTAACCAACAATGAAGGCTTATGGATAAAATTATCTGACGATTCTGTTACCACTCATTGTGGAGTATCTTGCACTTCTGCCTGGTCATTAGCAGCTGATAATTCTTGTGCCATCTATTTGAAACCTGAATATGAACTGAGTAAATATATATTTTAAATATTACAATTTCCTTAGGTAACACAATAAGATAATAAATTCGGTAAACAGATGTAAAATATATGTACTTTCGGGTCCTAGTAATTAAGTTAATTAAAAACTGTATGAGATCAACTTTGTGGTAAAACGTACGATTAAAATGTAACTGAAACGAAGTATATTAACCCGTTGAGATAATAAATTCAACCGCTGGTACTGAATGTGTTGCATTAAGAGTATTATCCACTTTATACGTGGGAAGCTTGCCAGGTAATTCTGGATACGAGTCCAAATTATCAATTACTATACATTATCATTAACTAGTCACGGGTGTAATTATATTGTCTGGTGCCGAAATATTGATTAAAACTTTATATAATCAACGTATAAGAAAAGTAATATGATTCAAGATTTAACATCGTAAAAAATAATTATACTAATAAATTACAAAAATATTTTTTATATTAACAAAAAGGTATACTACAAGAGATCATACAAGTATAAAGCAAGAATCTCGAATAATAAACCATATTAAATATTTTATTATAATATTTTCAATTCTCATTACAGTTAAAAGTATTCAGAAAACAAAAATCAAATAATTTTATTGAATAAAAATAAAATAGTATAATAGTAATTCATCATTGCAATAAGTTGAAAAATATATATATTTAGTCGAAATTATTTAATTTATCAAAACAAGTAGACATGTTAATTAGCAACTAATCATTTAAATGCGCACTTTAAAATAATATCTGAATTTTCAAATCATGTATTGGAATTTTCTAACGCATACAATGCAAGAGAAAATTTTGAAAAATAAGTTTACAACTGTTATATTTTTTAATGTCATAATTTCACTACTTTTGCGTAAAATTAATATGTATACTAAAAATATCATACTAACAGTTGAGAGCCTTTAGACCATTTCTTACAGTTTTTCATGGTTATTTTTTGAAGTGACCATATTATATTATATGAATTATTTATCATGATTTTCTTTTGAATATTAATAACGAAAATATATTTTTTAAAAGAAAAAGAACATGTTTTTTCTCAAAAACAAAAATTATATTAACTAAAAAGAAATAACTAATATTTCTTCCAAAAATAATAATTTTTACGTTATTTAATAAATAATTTCATGTCTCACTGAGAATAATTTTAAGAATACAATTAACAATACTATATCAAATTTTCTTTGTTATTTTTATTGAAAAATTTAATTATTAAAAAAAAAATGATGGCAGAATCATTGACAAAAAATTAAAACATAATAGTTCATCAAAAGTAATACAACAATAAAAATTTACGTGTGAATTTCAAAATTCACATTTTGAACTAAAACTATATAAGTTGTATCATTTATTATACATATATTTAAAGTCGTATTTAAACCAAATTCTTTATTACAGTTAATTATATTAATTACAATTGTATTTCAAAGTCTTTATAAAGTGATTGATTAACTATGCCTTACATTTTATAGGAGATTTAATATCTACTTAAGAGTTATTCATGACAATTGTTTCTTAAATATTATTAAGGAATATTTGCAACTTGATTGTAGACACTTCAAAAAAATTATTTCTCTATACTTAATGTTATTATCTATGCTACATAATAGGATAAAAATAGGTTTTGATTAATTTATTTTAATTAATTTATTAATTAATTTAGGATTTGATGTATTTAATACATCCATTACATCTTTTATGTTAATTAATACAAAAAAATGTAATTTAATACAATATTAGTTCATCAATATGTTTTTATTGTCATCATTTTAACTTTATTTTTTATTCTTTTCGTGGTACTTATTTAAATCCATTTATTACTTTTTTAGATTTAATGTACATGCTATTATTTTGATTACTTTGGGTCATAATGGTATCCTCTATAATGATCAAACCTAATCCTTTACTTGAGTTATTATTTTAATTTAAGTTTTATTATAAACACATAGAAAAACGCAATTTTTATTCATTATGTGATTAATATTATCATTTAGAATTTTATCCTAGTAAAATAAATGAAAAATTTTAATAAATTAAGAATACTTAAATGGATAATTTCTTATGTTAAAATATTTTATTTATGAAACCAGTGATAAGTTAGTTTTTATTTTTTTAAGAAAACCTTAAAAAAAAGTAGTTTGCTTTGTCAATGAACTCCATAAGAAATTCAAACTAATTTCTCGAGATACATTTTTGAAAAGTATTGTAAATGTGTACTTTTATAGCTTTAAGTAAGGAAAATTCCCCAAGGCACCAACTTCCTCCAGATCCTATTAAAAATTTCCCATTTCTCTTAACGTTCTAATAGGAATTATACTTAATTCTAACTTGCGTCATAAGCACAAAATGTAATTTTCCGTATGACATGACACAAAGTAAATAAATTTAAATATTTATTATAATCAATTAAATGATTTTATAAATTTTAACTACTTAAAACTTGTTTTTATTTTTAATCTTTTATAAAATAATCATATTTAAACTTATAAGTATTTGAGATTGTTAAGTTCATTGATTAATCATTTTTATTTATAATTAAATCGTAAATTAGTTATGTTTTAAGTTCTACCAAAAAGTTATTAAGAGGTACAAAAAATTATTCTACATTTCTTTGTTAGAAAATTCTTGTTAAATATGATCTTAACACATACGGAATTATCTATAAATGTCAGTATGTGTTTAGCGCTGATGATATTAACATTGCTGTTGAAATACGTTTTCTTCTTTTACTGAGTTTTTTTTTTTTTGTGATTTTTAGAAATAAGTATTTTCAATATTTTTTATTTTCAAAAATATTTTTAAAAAATAAAAATAATGTTAGTATAAATATCAGTTAATTAAAATATAATTTTTATTTATAAAGTTTTCAGTTCTATGTTATCAGTTATCAGTTTTAAACTGATTTATTATAAACGAAAATTAAAATAATCATATCGACTTTTGATATATTTTTTACTTTTAGAAGTTAGTATATTTTTTATAATATAATTGTAATGTACTTTTACAAATTATTTTTTATTGTGTGTATTAAATCATTAAATTAATAAATTTTCAATTAAATGTATTTTTATACGCAAGAAGAATTTTATATTTTCTTGTAATGCTACAGCATTTTCTATTTCTTTAATTTTATTTCAGCTTAAAAAGCTATTAGTTTTCTATTAAAAATGCATTAAACTTATAAACAACAACAAAAATTAGTTGTGTATGTTTGATGTTTATAGTGGTGCTATTCATGTATAAATAATTAATTCAATTTTAAATGAACTTTTTGTAGATAACAGCATAAACGATGCCAGTGTTTTAAGGCTGATAGATAACGAGATAAATGATTTCAGTATCATTAATAAAACAAACTATAATACTAAGCCGCCAAGTTTTGATACTAGTTCATATGTTATTGAACATATTAACATAGGTAATTAGAAATTTATGACTGTCAGAAATACTTAATAGTTATATGTAACTCAGTATATGGAATATAGGAAGTACATACAAAGATCATTTTTAAGTTTTATAATATAACCCAATTTTTATTTTAGAATTTTTATTTAAAAAAATTTAGTTTTTAAATGAAGTTTCGTATTGATTTTATTTGTTTTAAAGATTATCGTTTATAATTTTGCTACAAACATAGTATATAAATAATATCTCAAAAAACATATAGTATAATTTATTTCTTAATATTAAAAAATTTTAATTATTATTGCTCTCGATGTTTAATTTTTTTCTTTTTTTTTTTTTAGATGACAATGAAATAAAAATTGAAAAACAACAACAAAAATTCTCTCCTAAACGTAAAAAAACAANTGACAATGAAATAAAAATTGAAAAACAACAACAAAAATTCTCTCCTAAACGTAAAAAAACAATTGAAGGGTAAGTATCATTGTGTGTTACACAGTATAAATGCTTATACGTTTCATTTTTATTAGACTAAATGCTAATCCTTTGCCTATACCATATCATCGATCAAGAGCTGAATGTCGTCTAAGTAATGGTAATATGGTAATGATTCCACCAAACTCGCCACGTAGGACAGCGAAACATACAACAGAGAAAACTAAACATTACAAAAACTCAAGTATTTCTAAGAACGATATTTCATGTATGTCTATAGTTTTCAATGGTACGGTGTTTTTAAAAACTCACTTCTAACAATTTAACATTCGTTTAATAGACTCTAGAAGAGTATACCATCAATCTTTGTCAGTATCTAGTGATACAACTGCACCACCAACTACTAGCTCATCATCAGTTGATACTCACTTAACTTCAAGTTTATCTACTTCCATGGAAAGTTCCACAGAAATTCCAGGATGTCGATCTGTATGTTTATTTATTCAAAGTTTAAATTTTTTAATTACTTACTCATATAATTAAATAAATTTAACAAATCATTGTGCAATTTGATACACATTTAGAAAGATGAACCGTTTACCAGTGTAGCGCAAGCAGCTACACAAACGACTCCAGAGAGTGAGCGAATAAGTTTAATAGGCAGTATCAAAACTAAAAATAGACCATCACATAAAAGTTGGTCGAGTTCAAAAAATGTAACCTCAACTGATTCTCCTGATTTGTGTGATTCTAAAGATGGTATAGCTGATTTAACTACTCAAGAGTATGAGTAATTTAATTTATTTTTATTTTTACTAATAAATATTTGCATTAAAACAAAACATACGCATAAACTAATAGAATTATTCTTTTTTGAAATGGTTTTAATATAATATTGTAAATTTATTTTAGACAATCCGTCAAAGAGGCGCTCAGTCCTTCGATGGCAGAAAGCTTAAGAGCTGTGTTTGCTGCTTTCTTGTGGCATGAAGGCATAGTACATGATGCAATGACATGTGCTTCTTTCCTTAAATTCTATCCTAGCCTACCAAAAAATGGCGCAGTTATCACTAAAAGAACCACTGAAAAGTAACGACGGATTTTTTAAGTTTGTAATATTTTATTAAAATTGTATCAACAAATGAATTTTTAGTCGCAGCAAAAAAGACCGAAGTCAGTTGAGACATTCTGTAGAAGTAACTACGGGTGTTGGAAGCTATCAACATATTCGCCCTAATGATCAAAATCGTTCAAAGTGTGGCACGACATTACCAGTAGAAGGAACTATTACTGAAGAAAGTATGACAAGTTCAGGAAACTCTGAAACTGAAAATCTTCATCAAACTACAACTGTGAACACTTCAAATGAAGAATCTACCATTACTTTTTTGCCACCTGCTCTAAGTTGTATGGTTCGCCTCTGGGACGAAATAACATTGGGTGTACTTCAGGTAAATTTTTATCTTATTTTAAATCGAAACTGTTTAATCAAAATCAAAAATATTTTTATTCCTTTTATGCAAAATAAAAAAGATATAAATTGTATAAACTTAACTTTTGCAAATGTTCTGGAAATACTGCTTTCTTTAAATAAATGTTAAATTAAATTTTATGCTGTTTACTATAAGCTAAAAAAAATTTTTTGCCCCGAAGACTTCTATTCTACAAATAAACTACTCTCGAAATTCAACAAAAAATATTCTGGTGTAAAAAATCATTGTTTTTCGTGTTATAATTTTGTATTTCAATTTTTTTTTCAATCCATTTCTCAATATTTTATGTCAAATGGCATAGTCATATAGGAGGGGTCTAATTAGCCTACTTAGCTCCCCTTTTACCAAAAATAATGTTATAAATATTTTCAGAGAGGATTTTCGAAACTTTTAATGTAAAATCAATATGTATATTTATTGGAAGAGGGCTGCCTTTTCCAAAAAAATATTCTAGCTAACAATGCCTTATGATAAATTTAGGTAATAAAATATTGGTGTTTATTTTAATGGTCACTCTTATTCACTCGATTTCTCTTTAAATAATAATTATGTTAAGAAAATCATGTTTGGTACTTTTAAGTTTATATATATATTTCTAGATTTTTCAATTATGATAATTTTTTATCTTTTATGCCTCATAAGAATGATAACTTTATTTTATAATGACAACATACATATTTAATTAACTATTAAAATAAAAACCCAGTACAAAAAGTGGTCACGGCACAGTGGTAACGTGGCATAGTTGGGTCAAGTATAATGATATCTGACAGTGATTAAAATCACTATCAAAAATAAACGCTTCGATGCAAATCTTTAGATTGTGTTTAATTTTAAAAAAATTAGTGTATTATTCCAAAAGCTACATGATCTGCTAGTTCCTTATTAATATCTTGATTACGATAAAATATGTCGAATGAAAAAGGGATTATTAAAAAATATTATTTCTCATAAACAAATTGTGTTGATCCATACACTTTTCAATAAGTTATAGCATTATAAAGTTAAAAATATAAAAAATAAAATCGAGAATTTTCACACGAAAATAGCATTCGGTAGCCATTTTTGCCGTGAAGACAAGTCTAGAGGTCAAATTTTTTTTTTTAAATTTAAGTATATTACATAAGCTTTAATTTAAGATATATATAAAAGTCTCAGACCTTCCGGAACATTTTCAAAAGTTAAGTTGAAAAAGTTAATTTTTTGTGAAAAAGTTGTCATTTTAAATCCCCCCCTGTGGGCAGATAAAGGGTTAAATTTACAAAAAAAATATAATAAATGATAGGTAAGAACATCAAGCATCTATAAAAAAAAAAATTATATTGATATGTTCATTTTTGAAAAAGTTACGGCAGTTTTTAGTAAAAAAAATTGAAAAAATTTCGAAAATTAGCGATTTTTAAATTTGTAATTTTTTTGGAGGTTTCCCCCATTTACGGGGAACGAGGGAAATTTTTTCAATTTTTAAGGGTAATGTCTTCGACTAGATACGATTTGTGATCTTTTGACGTATCTTTGAAAGAAATCCGTTCGGTGAGAGCTGAGAAAAAGTGGTAACAGACACAAAAAAAAAAAACTTGTCCTACTGTGTTGAGTTTTTTTTATTTCATACTAATTGAAAAAACTTTTTTTGTTCTTTCATAGATGATAAAGTCAAACTCAAATTTAGCCATAAATGGCGTTAAAGAGAATATGTCAATGACGGCAGAACGAGACCAAAATGAACGTATCGCACGACAAGTAGAATCTAATCACAAAGAACCAGTTCCATGTGAACTATGTGCTGGCGAATCTTTCGTCACACCAATCGTTTATCATATGGGTAACGCTCATCCCGGTTGTGGATTAAACTGTGGTGGGCGTGGATACACTAATGCTGGGACTTACTGCTCAGGTTGGGCAGGAGCATGCGGTGACGGCGGTGTTGATGGATCACCGTGGTATTTGTTGTGTGAGAAATGTAGAGACAATTACTTATTAAAAATGAAGCCACCTGTAAGGCGTCGAAAAATCGCTATTCGTAATTATGGCGACCATAAAATACAGGCGCAAAATGGTAAATTATTATGTCATAACTAATCGTAAATTTTAATAAAATAAGTTCTTGATATATTTTACATTGTTAAAATTAAAAAAGGTTCCGACTGGGAAGAGACCGCTAATGAAATGCATATTATTCTCAAAGAAAATTCTATGTTCCTTTTGGATTTAGCTAGTAAAAGTATTAGTCAACCTAATTGTGACGATACACACTTGATCTCTAGTTTATGGACCGTTGGGGATTTCAAATGTCTCAGTACTCTAGGAATTCTCGCCAAACAGAATGAATGCGATGAATCTATTTTATTTCAATTACAAAATCGCTCATCTTTGGTATTTATTAATAAACAAATATATTAATAATAACTAAGCACAATGTATTATTACTTTTTTTCATTTAGGATGGAACATCGGATCAAAATACAGCTGATGTAGTGACCAGTCGTAGTTTTCATAGGTCGGCATCTATGGACATTGAAGGTTTACCTATGAGTCGACAAGATGCGATCAACCGTCGAAAACGTATAAATAGCACCTTCAATACGGGTAAATTAAAGAAATTTGAAACTTAATTTTTACTTATTATATTTACAATATATTTAGATAATGGTTTATCACTTATGTGTGTACCCTCCGCTGCTCTACAAGCCCTTGTTCCAAATATCAATCAAGCTTCTTTAGTTGATTATTCAAGTGAACCAAATGAAAATATAGATGTCGACATTTTAAAACGACCTGTAATTAATTTTATTATTGAAAAACACAACTTATCAGATTTAAAATGGTCGATGAAACAAGCTGTAAAAAAAGCGGCATGTCGAAGCTATGCGTTACAAGTGAAAAAAATCATTATTTTCAATAACATACTACAAATTATTGATGTTATAACAGAGAATTATAAAAAAAAAAAATTTTTTTTTAATCAGGCACTGAATTGGTTACTTCATGAAGTTTTTCAATATTCGTGCATACACGATTTATTATGGTGGTTCGTAATAGCTTTATCAGCTGAAGTAAGGACAATTGATGGTGATTCGACAGAACCTAGGTGTAGACATCCATTAAGCGACTTGTACTTGGCTGGAGATTCTGTGAAACCTTTACCCAAAGTTTTTTATACTTTCTTACAAACTGTTTCTGATCTTATGTTATATTTACCACCTGGTTCGGCTATTCAAATGATGGCTGTCCGATGCTGGGACATAAGTTTCACTCCTGCCGACCATATGTTTTTGCACAGGTTTGATGTGATTAGTAATTGTTTGATGTGTTTTTTTATAATATACTTATTTACTAAGCAGGAGTAAAGTATTCAGTAACATAAGTAAAATATTGTCACATAGTGAAGAACATCAAGAAGTTTGTGAGGATCCATCAGAAGTAAACTTTTATATTTAAAATTAATTATTATGTTATGTTAACATTTAAAATTCCTTTTATTATCTAATAGTGCGAAAGAGGTATTGTTTCTTCGTTAAAAGATTTAACTGACACTATAGAAATCACAGCATCGAGTCGACCTGCAATGATAGCAAACTTAATAGATCAATCCACAGAAACATTTTGGGAGTCTAGTGATGATGATAAAAGCAAGTTCAAAACTATCACCATACATTGCACTCAACCATGTGAGAATCCCAAAGCTGTTTATGTGCATATCGATAACTGCCGCGATCTTAATGTTAGTATAATAAGAAATGCACATGTTTCAACTGATATTTTTAATTCATATTTGGTTATATTTTATTTTTTATACAGAATAAAGTTTCAATGATCGTATTTTCTTGTGGACTATCGGTTGAACAACTTAATAAAATAAAAACAATTGAAGTTGAAAACAGATTCAGTGGTTGGTTAGGGACATTTATTCATGGTTCGTTACTTTGATTAAATTATACATAGATTTTGAATTAAACTTTAGTAAATTTATCTTATAGATGAATTTCAAAAAGTTATTTGCATTGAAGTGCGAGGTGCTGACTCATCAGTAAGATTAAGACATATAAAAGTTTTGGGATCAATGCCCGGAGAGCCTTTAACGTATAGGCGTCAATATAGTTACTCAACAATTCAACATCGGTTGTGTGAAAATGAAACCTTAAAAGTCTTCCGGTCGATTACATTCCAAGTAATTTTTTAACAAGAGAAAAATTTTAAAATAAACTAACCGTGTTTTTAATTCTAGGTGTTTGGTAAATTAATACAAGGTGAACAACCAACAATGGATTCGAGTGTTGAAGAAAGTAAAGATTTAAAAGAACATATGGTCGGTATTCTGTTCAGTCAAAATAAATTAACTCATTTACAAAAACAAGTAAATTATAACTAGAAAATTCATACTACTATTTCTCAATTCTATATTTTTTAGGTATGTACTCATATAGTTGAAACTATAAAAAAAGAAGCCATTGCTATGCGAGAAGACTGGGAAAATTCTGTATGTAAAAAAGATACTTCTTCCAATAACGGAACCTTAACTCCAACCGACTCTTACTGTTTCGAAATGTTGTCGATGGTCTCGGCCCTTAGTGGAAGTAATGTTGGTAGAACTTATTTAGCCAATCAGCATGATTTACTGTCAAATTTATTGAGTTTATTACACACTGGTAGTGCTCGAGTTCAAAGACAAGTAATCTTTCAGTTGTTATATAAAGTGTTCAGTAAGTAAGGAAACGGGTATCTATTATTCTCATTTTTTGTAACAATTAACCTGTTTACTTACTTACTGAACATTCTGTATACTACTTATATTTGTATTTCTAAAAAAACATTTATTCGACAGGTGACCTTATTATTAAAACGAGTATTGCCAGAAGTATCGCCTTATGTATTAGCCTCATTAACTGATGCTAGATTGCCATCAACCGAATTTTCAATCGCTAGTCCACCTTTAGAATGCCATAGAGTCGGACTTCTTGATAATTTCTTAAGTGTAATTGCAAAGTCTCTTACATTACAAGTTAAAATCAAAGGTATTAGTGGTAGTAAAGTTGTCAATTCACTAAAACTTAATGATATTGACTTGGACGAAGATGGTTCACGTTGGTACCTAAAAGGTGTTTCATCGAAAAAATTAGCTGATGACATTATACAAATATTATTGGATATGTCTAATGTAATAAATAAATTAAATAACTAGATAAAATTAAAAATAAATACATATTTTCAAAAATATTTTTAGGGAAAATTTTGTAGAAATGAAAATTGGAAAGATGTAACGAGGGCAGCAGTTGCAGAGAACATACTTAACCTAACTAGACTTAGCAAAGAATATAGATCAATGGATAGTTGCATAAGAAATCCAGTTTTGTGGTTAGCATTAGCTTCTCACTGTGTTTTACATCCGGAACATGCTGAAAGACTTTCATCAGGGCAATGGCTAAAACCTGAAAATTCATTACCTACTCCACCCAGGGTAAGTGAAAATAATTAATAAAATTATATGTTTTTATACTTGCCAATAAGATAGTATAATAACTATTTATATATAATTCTTAGCCATTATGTACAAACCACGACGATGGTGAAACACCAGCTGCTGTACAATGTCTTAATTGTGGAAACTTGTGTGTTGATTGTGATAGAATTTTACATTTAAACAGAAAAACTAAATATCATCAAAGACAAGTAAATTAATAGACTACATTGGATTAGTGAAGTAATTTAAATCATAAATACTTATTAGTTTTTTTAATTTTATATCAGGTGTGTAAAGAAGAAGAAGAAGCAATAAAAGTTGACTTGCATGAAGGGTGTGGTCGAACAAAACTCTTTTGGTTATTAGCACTTGCTGACAAAGCTACTCTACAAGCATTAGTTGAGTTTAGGGATACTACTTCTAATTCAACGGATTTATCAGTACCAGTTACTAGAGTTAATGTTCAAACAGCAAGAATAGGAATATGTCGGTTCTGTGGTATGATGAGTAACGACGGTCTCCTAGCAATAGGAAACGTATGCGCGAATGATGAATGTCAGGTATATAAATATCATTACTTTATTTTAAGTCAGAAATTATCTTAAGTGTATAACTTTACACTTTATATTTGTAAGTTAAGTTTATTTATTACGTTTTTAATATTTTTTAATAACAAATAACGTATTTAATAATTTATAGCTTCATGCTCAGAATGCATGCCAAAAAGTACTTAGATGTGGCCATTTATGTGGTGGAATCAAAAGTGAAATTGAATGTTTACCTTGTTTACATGGCTGCACAAATACTGAAAATGTATGTCTCAAACAAGATGCTGAAGACATGTGCATGATTTGTTTTACGGATGCTTTGTCAGCAGCACCGTCTGTTCAGGTAGTATACATAATAATTAACTGAATTTTATTTAACTGGTTCATTGCAATATTTAAGAATTACTAACTTAATATTAGTGAATAATTAGTAATATTCGAACCAAACTTGGGGTATTTAGTTCAGTTTGAATATGGAACTAGTTTAATCAATTACCGCATTTAATTTGTTAAATAGTGATATAAAAAATGTTTTGCCCGAAAAATTTTAAAATTGATGTGTCGGTTCGGATTTGATAAAAAAAATTAAAAGCTTGATTTAATTTCAAAAATTGAAATAAATTTTATTTTTTTTAACTGTTTTAAAATTTTATTTTTTAAATAGATACACATTAATTATTACATGTGAATTGATTAAAATGTTTGTAATATGTTTTAAATACATAATTATATTTTGAAATGTTAAAAAAAAAAAATTATTTTTAACAGCTCATTTGCGGTCACGTGTTTCACTATCAATGCTGTAAGAAAGTTTTAATCAATAAATGGACTGGTCCACGAATTACTTTTGGATTTCAACAGTGTCCCATATGCAAAGTAAGTATAATTAAATAATTTTAGGGGGTTCTTTTACTTAATTTAACTGTAAAAAAAAAAATGTTACAACAGCATCCTATTGAGCATTCAAGTTTATCGGAAATATTAGCTCCAATACGTGATTTGATGGCTGATGTTAAAAGAAAAGCTTTGATGCGATTGGAGTACGAAGGAGATTGCGCTATAAAAGGTGATCAAGCTGCTTCATACGGTATGGAAAAATATGCTTACTACGTATGCCATAAATGTAAAAAGGTAATTAACTAGGAATTTTTTTTATGATTATAATCAAGATACTATAAAAAAATGGTCAGTACAATACTGATCGCTGTAGAGAGAACATGTCTCATCCACGTTCTAGTGTTCAATAAAAATTAAATACTATAAAATAAAAACTGACCGGAGTGATAAGAAAAGTTCATGTATAAGAGATGATGGTGTAGCTATCTGTGTTCATAAATGTCATTTTTCAAAACTAATACATTTACCTATAAATAATATTGAACAAACTTTTGTGTTTTTTCGTGTTGGTGGTAGAAATGATAATTTTATATTAGGTACTTGTTATATACCTCCGAATATTCCGATTAGTATGTATGCAGCTCATGTTAACACCGTTAAGCATGTTAATTCTAATGCTTCTATCACTGTTTATATTATTTTAACTGATGACATTAATTTACCAGGTGTAAATTTTTACTATAAATATTAAAACATTGTAATACATCACTTGCTGAGTTACTCTATATAATGATATATTATTATATCTTAATTATAATATATATATATATGTATATATATTAGGGTGTCCCTTATTTTGAAAATTTTGGAAATTCTTCGGGTTCACCCCCCAAATTTGTGTGTATACATATAAAAAGTGGCTACAAAAAATTCCAGGCCGATCAGATAAGTTTAACCCGTGCCGACTTGGGGTTGAAAATCGGCCAAAAGGGGTACTTTTTTAGTTTCTAGCAATTAACTCGTAAATTAGCGCTCTCACAAAAAAAAGTATAAAAACTAAATTGTAGATCTAATTATTTTATATAAATTAAGTCCTTACAGTTTTTCTTTTAAATCCATTAATTTTCTAGAAAAGTGTCAAAATACATAATATTTCGTAAAATTGCCGAAATTAGCATATTTACGAATATTTCATCATATATGACGAACCATATGTGATACGACCTAATGTTTCATACAAAAATTGTTTAAAATTAAATTTTACGAAATAAAAGTATTAAGTACAAATTTCATTGAACCGATCGTTTTATTGCTATAGCTGAAATAACTCGATCATATTACGATTAATATCATATCATATGATATTGTTGGGTTTTTTTCTATATTAGTTTAGCTAGGTTGAAAATTTTTTTAAATATTTATTGATTTTTATCACATCAATGTACTATTTAAGGAAATTTTTTTTATTTTGTACATATATTATAAATTAATTTTACGTTGTACTCGTTTGCCCATATTGGGCGTTATTCTTATAATAAATATAAAATAAATGCTAAAAAAAAATATTTTTGTTTTTTTTTTTTATCAATTTATAATAAGCAATCATACATTTAAAATATATATATATTTCGTAGATTGATTTATTTTTATCTGATAAAAATATACAAAATGATAGCTGACTTATAATAATTCTATTTTTTAGTTGCGAGGTCAATATTTTTAAACTTGAACATTTTATTTTTAGGCATATTATGGAGGCGAAGCTCGTTGTGAGGCTGATGTTAACGTTGGAACAGAATATGATCCAACTGAATTAGTATGTGGTGGTTGCAGTGACGTGGCTCAAGCTCAGATGTGTCCTAAACATGGCACTGATCTTCTTGAGTATAAATGTAGATATTGTTGTTCTGTTGCCGTCTTTTTTTGTTTTGGAACAACTCATTTTTGCAACGCATGCCATGATGACTTTCAAAGAGTCACGAATCTATTACCTAGTGAATTACCACCATGTCCTGCCGGTAATGTTAAATTATGTTTTTTTATAATTTATTAAAATCAAATATTTATTATAAAATATGTTCTAATTCTCAAATATTTTTTAGGGCCTAGAGCAACACCTTTAAATGTTGATGAATGTCCACTACACATAAAACATCCTCCGACAGGCGAAGAGTTTGCATTGGGGTGTGGTGTATGCCGAAATGCTCATACGTTTTAAAAAAAACATTTATTCATTATAAATAGAAAAATTATTTATCGTAGTTAGCTATAATGTTATGTTAATAGCGGTTTTAATTTGAAATACTTAAATGTGTACCAATTTAATATACAGTGTTTAACATAAGTATCAATTTGAGAACGCGTTTTAAATTTTAAATGCTTCATTATTCATTAACTAATCAATTTTCATTAACTGTATTTTCAAGTTCCAAATCAAATTATGGAAAAAATTGTTATTATTAATTTTATGTTAAAATGCTTTTTTTTTTACCATATGAATCTCATATTCTAGTCATTGTTTGTTACGTTTTTTAATTGCTTGTGTTCAATTTTTTATTGTTTAGAATTTTGTAAGAATATGTATTGATATTTCAATTGTTTAGTATTTTTAAACGTATTACTTATTATTCGTCGGATTGCAATTATTATTATATTAATAATTATTTACTATCTAGGTACGTCTCTAAAATGATTAGTAAAATCTGGTGATATTAAGCAATATTTTAAATTATTCTTACTTAAGTATTTAAAGTATTTGTAATCATCCACAAACAGTTTTTTTTTAATTCATTTTTTTTTGTTCTGTAGTAAGACTATAGATTAATGAGATCTCATTAGAGGTACCACTTTTTATTTTAACCAAATATTTGGTATACTTTAAATTATTTTAGACACTTATGTTTTTTTATTCAATTTAGATTTGACAAAAAAAAATTGTGGATTTTAATATAAAAATTGTTTTTATTTACAAATGTTGAATTGAATAAAATATTGTAAGCTAAAAATTATTTTATACTGTAAAACCAATCAATCTAGCTATTAGACTAAAAAAAATAATAAGTTTTATTTAGCTTTGTTTTAATACTTAGATATTATTTATAAATGTTTTTTCTTGTATTAGTAATTATGAAAATCATCTACATTTAACTCATCTATTCTAATTTGCATTTTTAGTTACTAGATGATGTCTTAAAAATGGATTATTTAAAAAAAAAAGAGTGCAATACTTAATTTTTTGACATTTACAATAAAATTACTTCGATTAATATAAAACTATAGTTTTTATATTTACTTAGATAACAGTTTGATTGCTTTAATTATACTACAAAGATATTTAGTATATATCAATGGGTAGTTTTAAAAATAAGAACAAGTCTAGTTTCAATACCAACAACATACTATAAGCATAATGTGATTTAATAACATAGGATTTAATACTTAAGGGAAACTGTACATAATAAATTTACGTATTACTCTAAAATTGTGATTTTGAGGTTGATACAGTAAAAAATATAGGGTTATGGTAATTTTTGTAAAAAATTGAATGACCTGACCCCACTTTTAGTATGCGAATTTTGTAAGAAATTTCGTATTTATTATATTATTTTTAAGGAAATAATGACTAATTTTTTACTTGGAATAAAGAATGTAGTTTTGAAAACTGCAGAATAGTCATAACTTGATTATCTATATAAAATTTAATTTTTCAGATGACCAAAAGGTCATCAATTTGAAAATTGAAAATGAGACCTTGGGCATCAGATTGAAATACTAATCTTATATATTTAATATCAAATAGTGATGAATTCTGCTCAAGCTTGACCGTACAAACCGTAGTTTAAATGTTGTCCTGAAGTAAAAAATCATTATGAATTCATTGAATTTTTACATTTTTACATGAGTTTTATGTTCTGAAACTGATATCAGACCACATACATTAAACCTTATAAATTTAGGAACACTAAATTTTGATATTTGTTAAGAAATACGATCAAACATAATGCAATGCTTACAGCACGTCGTAAAAAATGATTATTTTTGTCCTTATTACCCTTCTTTTGGAGAAACGCTATCATATTTTTTAAAGCCGATATTTACAAAATCATTTTTTTTCTGGCAAGCTTTTAGTTTTAAATATTAATGAGGTGGACATAATGTCCATGCACTCAGATCTGTTGGTCTATTGTGCGCACCTCATACCAAATTGTCTTGATTCGGTTTACCCACCTAAGTGTATAAGGGTGAACCATCAAGTCACCCCTATGGATGACCAAAGAGTCCTGTCTTTCCGGCGAAATTGAGTATCTCTCTGGGTTTTAGGTTTTTAATGTTTTCTTTTTCAGGAAAAGGTTTACTCAAGTAGTTTGATCTTAGTGTGAACAAGGCTTCACATTCGTACATAATGTGAAATTAGTCTTTCTCATCTACTCCACACTTCCTGCAAAATAGTGATTCCGATAACCCCGTTAAAGATGTTTAAGCAAGAGACCATGTCCTGTCAGTAGACTAGTCAGAGTGCTTATTTGGTGTCTTAATCATGCTATTAAGATCACCCAACAGTAGACCGGAGGTCTTGATAAACATTTTAGATTGTCTAGGTACTACCAAATACTTCCATATTTTCCTATGTTGTTCTCTGCACCAATTCTTGGGTAGCACTTTGAGTGATTGCTCAGTGAGTCCTACCATTGGTTCTGGTCCAACATAGATGTTCTTTTCTTCTTTCCTAACTAGAAAGTCAGCATTTTCATTTCCAGTGACACCGTTGTGTCCTAGTACCTACTGTAACTTTTCTGAACCTCGATAGTGATTCTAAAGTTTCCCTGCATTCGAGCACAAGCTTTGAATTCACCTGATCATTACAGAGTGCTTTCAGAGCTGCTTGACTGTCACTTAAGATAATTATCATCCTATTCTTGTATACCAGTAGGTTCTGAGCCCCTAACAGTATTGCCATCATCTCTGCTTGGAAGACAGAGGGTGTTGTGCCCATTGATATGCTGACATTTATTCGTGGCTTTAGTCCCCAAATGACAGTATCTACTTTTCCTGATTTTTTGGATCCATCTGTATATATTACAAATCCTCCTTCTTCAGTCAGAGGGTTAATATTCAATTCTCTACGTGTAGTGATTTCCACTTTGTAGAGAATGTTATTCTTAAGAACCGGGTTAATATAGTCCAAGGGGTATATTAAAAATCGTTGGTCTATCTCTTATATTATTTTACCGTGTTCTGCTATGTCACTCTCTAAAGTCCATATACCTAAGTTGTGGAATCTTAGTTCTGTGGCTTAGGTGTAAGCTTTAACCTCTAGATACAGAAAAGGCTTCTGGCAAGCTTACCAAACTAAAAAAAAAAATTACATTTTTTTAGGGTTATCTTTAAGGATGTTCTGCAAGAAATCGATTTAATTAATGAAAAATTCAAAAATTAAACTTTTATTTAGAAAATTTTATTTTTAAAGCTTTTTTGTCATTATTAAGTCTATTTAACACATTTTAACTAAAATTTTATATTGCTAAGTAACGAAAATATTTTTATGTATTTTCAATTGCCCTTATCAAAAATTTTGTTTAAAATTCTGTATTTTAAAAGTGTAAAATACTCATTAAAACTAAGTATTATTCATTTTTAGCTTCGATGCGAAGCTGAGAAGGTATTAATTTTACTATGATGTTTTTTTTTATAAATTCGACCCTTTACCTGCCCACATGGGGGGATTCAAAATGACAACTTTTACAACTTAATTTTTGAAAATATTCCGGAAATACTGACACTTTTATATATATCTTAAATTAAAGATTATATAATATACTTTAATATTAAAAAAAAAATTGTTAGACTTTATTTTGTCTTCATGATAAAAATAGCTACCGTATTCAAAAATATACTATTTTTGTGTTGAAATTCTTGAATGTTTATTATTAGTAATAAAACCCCAAAAAAATACTATAAAATGTGTACTAAAGGTGAAAACTAAAAATTTAATATATCGGGTGTACTATACGTGAGAAATATAACCTTATACGAATATACAGGGTGTACTATTAGTCAAAACTAATAATTTAGATATACCGAGTGTACTTTATGTGAGAAATATAACTTTATACGAATATACAGGGTGTACTATTAGTCAAAACTAATAATTTAGATATACCGGGTGTACTTTATGTGAGAAATATAACTTTATACGAATATACAGGGTGTAATATTAGTCAAAACTAAGAATTTAGATATACTGGGAGTACTATATGTGAGAAATATAAACTAATTCAAATATACAGGATGTACTATTAGTCAAAACTAATAATTAAGATATACCGGGTGTACTATATGTGAGAAATATAAACTAATTCAAATATACAGGGTGTATTATTAGTAATAAAACCACCAAAAAAATACTATACAAGGTGTACTAAATGTGAAAACTAAAAATTTAATATATCGGGTGTACTAAATATGAGAAATATAACCTTATACAAATATACAGGCTGTACTATTAGTTAAAACTAATAATTTAGATATACCGGATGTACTATACGTGAGAAATATAACTTTATACGAATATACAGGGTGTAATATTAGTCAAAACTAATAATTAAGATATACCGGGTGTACTATATGTGAGAAATATAAACTAATTCAAATATACAGGGTGTATTATTAGTAATAAAACCACCAAAAAAATACTATACAAGGTGTACTAAAGGTGAAAACTAAGAATTTAATATATCGGGTGTACTATACGTGAGAAATATAACCTTATACGAATATACAGGGTGTACTATTAGTCAAAACTAATAATTTAGATATACCGGGTGTATTATACGTGAGAAATATAACTTTATACGAATATACAGGATGTACTATTAGTTAAAACTAAGAATTTAGATATACCGGGTGTACTATACGTGAGAAATATAACTTTATACGAATATACAGGGTGTAATATTAGTCAAAACTAATAATTTAGATATACCGGGTGTACTATATGTGAGAAATATAAACTAATTCAAATATACAGGGTGTATTATTAGTAATAAAACCACCAAAAAAATACTATACAATGTGTACTAAAGGTGAAAACTAAGAATTTAATATATCGGGTGTACTATACGTGAGAAATATAACCTTATACGAATATACAGGATGTACTATTAGTTAAAACTAAGAATTTAGATATACCGGGTGTACTTTATGTGAGAAATATAACCTTATACGAATATACAGGGTGTAATATTAGTCAAAACTAATAATTTAGATATAGCGGGTGTATTATACGTGAGAAATATAACTTTATACGAATATACAGGATGTATTATTAGTTAAAACTAAGAATTTAGATATACCGGGTGTACTATACGTGAGAAATATAACTTTATACGAATATACAGGGTGTAATATTAGTCAAAACTAATAATTTAGATATACCGGGTGTACTATATGTGAGAAATATAAACTAATTCAAATATACAGGGTGTATTATTAGTAATAAAACCACCAAAAAAATACTATACAAGGTGTACTAAAGGTGAAAACTAAGAATTTTGATATACCGGGTGTACTATACGTGAGAAATATAACTTTATACGAATATACAGGGTGTACTATTAGTCGAAACTAAGAATTTAGATATACCGGGTGTACTATATGTGAGAAATATAAACTAATTCAAATATACAGGGTGTATTATTAGTAATAAAACCACCAAAAAAATACTATACAAGGGTACTAAATGTGAAAACTAAGAATTTTGATATACCGGGTGTACTGTATGTGAGAAATATAATCTTATTTCAATATACAGAGCGTATATTAGTAAAAACTAAGAATTTTGATATACCAGTTGAATGTAATAAATAACTGAGAAAGTTTTTAAGAACTTTAATATTAGTTAAGTATAAGTTTATAACACTGTAGTAAGAAATTTTAAATTCTTATGTATAATAATGATGTCATATTAAGTGGAAATACTGAGTTAATAATGGTGTTAACAAGAATATACAAAGGTATACGAGAAAAGTGAAGGGGATAGACTTTTAGACTTAGGAACGTCTAATTTCGGGACAGGATGTTTAGCGCATGAAACTTTATATTTCAAACGGCTTAATTTATATTGTGTTACATTGCTATGTTGTATTTTGATTTTGTATTTCTTACGCTTCGTAAATAAAAGATAAATGTTCGAAACCTGCACATAATGTTCACCATGTTATTAAATCTGCGTGTATGTGTCGCTAAAGTCAAGGATGGACTGTTGGTCCTTTGGTCGATCTTAATAATTAGTTCGCGTGTTGACTAGTTTTTAGGCTTAAACGTCATTTAGTAGGTATAGTGAAAAGGTAGTTGTGCTGGTTGCTGATGAGGATCTAAAACCTGCCTCTTTAGTCATTCACAAATTGATAGGATTGTAGATGACCAGTGTTTCCAACGGGAAAACTCGGGAAGAGCTAAAACGTTGAACTTGACGTCAATAAGCGCTAAATATTTTGTGTACTTTTGTACACGAATTTTGTACTTTATTTATTCGTGTCTCAGACATTGTACTGGCGACGTACGACAGCACTATAGGTGAAAACTAAGAATTTAAATATAACTGGCTTACTATTAGTAAAATCCTTGTAGTCTTGTAGTACTATAAATACGAATTACAATTGTATTAAATGTAATAATCATGCTATTTTAATATATAGAATGTGCTATAAATAAAAAAATTGTAGTTTTAGATACCGAGTGTACTACATAGAAACACTAACATACATATTTTAATCTACTATTACAAGTAAATGTCATAAAAACTTTTGGATTTCATATCACATTAAATTATGAAATTTATTTTTCAATTCTAATTGAATATAATTAAAATTTATAATATTACTCCAACTTTAAATATTAAATTTAGTCAAAACATTAAAATTTTTAGCTTCCATGCGAAACTGAGAAGGCATTGGTTTTACTATGATGTGTTTTTTTTGTCTGTTACCACTTTTTCTCAACTCTCATCGAACCGATTTCTTTCAACGATACGTCAAAAGATCACAAATCGTATCTAGTCGAAAGTATTACCCTCAAAAATTGAAAAATTTCCCTTGTTTCCCGTAAATGGGAGAAATATCCAAAAAAATTACAAATATAAAAATCGCTAATTTTTAAACATTTTTTTACTTAAAACTGCCATAACTTTATTAAAATCAATCAAATCAATTTTTTTTATAGAAGCATGACGTCTTTACCTTTTATTTAGTATTTTTTTTAAAAATATAACCCTTTACGTGGGCAGGGATTCAAAATGACAACTTATTCACAAAAAATTAACTTTTGAGTTAATTGAAGTGTTGTGGAAACTCTAACACTTTTATATATACCTTAAATTAAAGTTAATGTAATATACTTTATCATGGAAAAAAAAAATGTCGGACTTTATTTTGTCTTTACGGTGAAAATGACTACCAAATGCTATTTTAGTGTGAAAATTCTCGATTTTTTTTAAACTTTATAATGCTATAACTTATTGAAAAGTGTATGTATCAATACAATTTTTTTATGAAAAATAATATTTATATCCCTTTTTCATTCGACATACTTTATCTTAATCGGGATATAAATAAAGAAATAGCAGATCATGTAGCTTTTGTAATAATCCACCAATTTTTTTTAATTAAACACTATCTAAAGATTTGCATTGAAGGGTTTTTTATGATAGTGATTTTAATCATTATACTTGACCCAACTATGCCACGTCATCACTGTGCCGCGACCGTCCTGTGCCGGGTTTTATTTAAACATAATTAATTGTTATTTTTTTTCTTAAAAAATAGTCAATTTTTAAATTTAAGTTCGAGTCTTCGCGTGTTTATGCATATGAATTGGTTACACCTTTTCTAGAGATTCAATTTATGTTAGTTATAGTTTAACAAAATGTAATATGTCATTAAAATTTTAATATCCGTAAAATACATTGTATTGTTGTCTACTAATAGATGGTAATAGACATATTATATAGTTTCAAAAAATATATAAGGTACATTTCATGAAATCTTCACAGTACAAAAATAATTTTTTGTGGTTTATGTTTTTAATAATTCATAAAAATATAAGAAAACATATTTTTTAATAATTTAGTAATTCACTCATTTCAATGGTACTCAATTACATTGTTTAATTGAATATTAAATATATTTCTAATTTAAAAATATCAAAAATATTTTTCTTAAGGATGCATGAGAAATTTACCTGCATTTTTTACATGGTATTTATAGAATGCTACAATTTTGAACTCAATTTTTATGTCTATCACAAATGTAATATTGATTTAATTTTGTAAAAAAAGGTATAAATGATTGATTTTAAAAAAAATTATCTTGAACAATTTAATGAAAAAAAAAGTGGCTACTCATAACGATCAAAATACTATTAAATATTTTTTTAACAAGCCAAAAAGTTTTAACAAATAAGAAAAACCAATTATCTGAACATTTACATATTTATTCTTCCTTTTGCTTTGACAAGTCAAAATAGAATATTTTGAAAAATTTAGTTAAAATTTTAAAATAAATATATTTTATTCTTTAATAGCAAAATCAAGTTGAATGATGTTAAATAAAACTTGAATAAGGTTTCTGTATATTAATTATTTTTAGATACACTTAACAACATGTAAAAATTTTATATATATAAATATATACACTATCAAAATTTTAGAATCTAAGCTTTGGCAATACTTTCTATAATATACAATTATCTGTAAATAATGTGTTGTAATCAATTAAAAATATACACACTTGTAATAATAATTAAATATTTTTCATTTTTTAAGTATAATAATAGTGCTGTAACGTCACTGTTTCCAAAACGCTATTGCCTTTTTGAAGTTATCTGTAGTCTGTAGGCGAATGGGTTCTTTTCTAACATCTTTGGATTTACATTCTGATGTTTTTGATAATTTTTCGAAAATCATCCTATTCTCCTTTGTTTTAATGCTACTTTTGGTAACGTCACCTGAGGACATTTTCACACAGTTAAGGTTGGATATCACATTGTCTACCGAAGGAGTCTCTTCCCGAATGGAATGGCTATCGTCGGGGGCAAACTTCGGTAGTGACGGTGGCCCAGTGAGCGAGGAACAATCGCTTATGCCACTGTCACTACGTGCGTCACATGTTTTAGTATATTTCGGAGACACGGTCGGTAACACCACTGGTGCATGGGGAGGTAGATCTTCAGCGTCTACGCTATAGGCAGGGGAAGCGGTGACACGTATTAAAGACTGCGGAGGAGTTTCACCGCCAGAATCTTCTTCACTTAAACTCGCCATTTTAAAGTTTTGTAAAATGCTACCATTACCGCTTCCACCTCCACGTTTACTAGCTGCCGACAACGTAGCCATCCTACCGAGTGCTCGAATAGCATTACCAGTTTTCTGTTAATACCACACAAAACCACACATACAAACAAAAAAAAATTGTTAATAAACACAATTAAACACTATCTAAATTTTTCATTACATAAATTTCATCTATATTTTCTAAAGATTTCATTAACTAGTTAGACTATTTATTTCACATGCAGCATAAATAAAAGTGATATACAAACTATTCTAATGTAGAACAAAATCAACACATTAAACAACAAATAAAAAAATATTTACATATTATCTTTTTACTAAATATCTAAATTAAAAATTATTATCAAAATTAAATACTTATTCTCAAAACAAAAAGAAACACATTAAACATGACAAATAAATCATCAATACAATACTAACCTGCCATTTTCGTCTAATGATAAATTTTTTTAGTTTATCAGTACATAGTATAGTACATCGCATGTCCATATCTTGCTGTGCTAGCCATTTGTGTTTCAAACATTCTTTAGCAGTAAGTCTTTTTCTGTAGAAAAATAAAAAATCATTTTTAAGTATTTTAACCATTGATAAAAATAAAAATATAAGCTCTTCCAATAGTTATATTTTATACGCATCACAACCCTATTCTGGCATAACCCTTTGATAAAAATATTTTACTCTAATTAAAAGCAGAATACACATTTGTATATTACAGGAGTACGTACAACGCATTTACAGTAAATATAAATATGAAAGTATTTTCATTGATTTCCAATATTTAATTACATTACGTAATCAAAATGTATACTGCAAGTTAACATTTCACACAACTAATTTCAATAATCTACATTGTCATTGATTATTATTACTACTTTTTGTTATGAATTTTCATAAATATTTACTATGATTATTTTCATACTTATCAACTATCTGCCAATGATTAAACTGTATGAAATTTTTATTTTGTATAATAATTATTAATCTTTAAAAAATGCATTTGAAATTGCGGAAAAAGGTAGCAATTAAAATTTATAATTTATAATAAAAATTAAGAAAGTGTTTTACGTAAATAATTTATTTAACCCCCTCCCAGATCAAATTTGAATGTACGTCAATCTACAAATAGTATGTTATAATTTTTCATATTGCATTAGTTTTAACAAAGGCTTACTCTTTTCTTTTGATCAATAGTGAACTTATGAAATCTTTCGAGTCTTGTGAGATGGCGTCAAAAGCTTCATCGTCAAAGTCGAATTCTGCTTTGGTTATGTTAGTAAACGTTTCAGCGTCGCTGTCGCCCATAAATGGAGAGAGGCCAGATAAACTAAAAATTAAAAAAAAAGAAAAAGTAATAAAACAATTTTGAATAAAACAAATAGAACACTAAAATTAAAACCTACAGAACATAACAAATAACACCAACAGACCACATATCAGATTCCAAACCGATTGGTTCATAGCTGATGATTTCGGGTGGTATAAACTCTGGCGTACCGAAAAGTACTCGAATAGGTTTGTCGGGTTGAATTTTTTGCGCAAGTCCAAAGTCGATTAATTTTATTTGATGGGAAGTTCTCGATTGGCACATTATGTTCTCGGGCTAAAAGATAGCAATGTTGAAAATAGAAATTAATCATAAATTGTGTTATTTTACTCCATATATACTTTCAAGTCCAAATGAACGACATTTTGTCTATGCATATAGTCGACTCCTTCGCATATTTGTCTTGTGAAAAGAATGCAGTCCTTTTCCGTTAACGTGAAGTCATCGGCTACTACACGTTCAAACAGCTCTCCACCGGAAATACTAAATAATAGAAATTTCATTCAGTATTATTTTCTCAACGACCGTATACTAGACAAGTAGAACTCACTATTCGATAACCATAACAACTTCTCGCGGATTCTCGAAAGCCGCCTCAAGCTGTAACAATTTAGGATGCCTCAAGCAGTTCATAATGTCAACTTCTTCTTGTGCTTTTTCTTTATCTTTGGCTTTGATGCACCTAACGAATTTGGCTGCTAGATACTTGCCCGATTCGCGGTCTTTTATCTTATGCACCACACCGTACCGACCTTTTCCCAATTCATCTAAAACTTCATATTGGCTGCTAAACAATTCTCCGCTTTCAATGGTAACTTTTTTCGGTACCACAGTATTACCATAATCTAAAAATTAATTATTAAGTGTTCGTCGGAAACTACTCAGATGGTTTTTGTAAACAAATGCTGGTAATCTTACCGGTTTGTAGTATGTACACTGGCACCGATTCCAAACTGGCTTCGCTCGATCCATGCATGTTTTCAGCTCGTACTCTGAAAACGTACGATTCACCGGGCGCCAGACCTCGGACTATATGAGATAAAGAATGACACCTTAAATAAAAATAGAAAAAAACGTGTTATGGTAATAGCTCCACACGTGTGCGTCAAACAAATACGTGTTAGATATATTATGATCTTGAATTCTTATTATCGAATAAATTGTACAAAAAAAACTAACCATAATGATTCGTTTAATTTAAATTTAGTGTCATAACATTTATTTTCAGCTATAGAAAAAAATCTTTAGCAATCTACTAATTTAAAATCATTTTGTTGTCAGGTTAAAAAATCTACCCAAAAACTTATTTGTATCCCCTTAGGAACCGTTTAATGACCTTCTAGTCATAACAAATGTATTTTTGTATCATCAATTATTAGTTCCGATACAAAAAAACATACAGCCAGTGAATGAAAGTACAAAAAAAAACTTGACATTAATACGTATTTTTATCAATTACTTTTTTGTTAATTCTTTAATAAACAACTTTTAGATTATACATCATAGGTAAAAATACTTTTTTGAAATAAAATTAAAATAAATTAATATAATTACTAAAGCAGATAATTATGCTTTATTATTTTTTATACGTGAGTTATTATAAATAAAGAAATATACTAGTCAACATAAAAATATAAAAATGAGAAAATGACGCGTTGAATAAGTATGCAAGTTCATAATATTATGTTTCATAAATTTAAAAATACTCTACATGTGTCGATTATTTTTCTTATTTCTTAAATTGAAATAAATTATCTATTTACTTAAACTGTTTGTATACATTTGTAGTTTGTACTCATAGATATGAATAAGTTGAAAGAAAACTATTGACATTATGATACATAATCCATAGGCTTATTGAGATAATTTAATATTTTTTAAAATAATAAATAAATATTCTGATGGTACTTTTAGTGAAATTATAAGATAAATATTTCTACTGAAAGGCGATAACTTTTATGTGCTTCTATATTTAATTATTCAAAAACACGTTCGTGATACCTGATAAGTCACACAATAAGTTGTTTAATCAAATTGAATAAATACATACACTTTTCTTTATCGACATATCCGCAATTTTATAGTTAAATAGAGGTACCTATAGCCATGTGCTAACAAATGATTAAAATAAAAATCTTTAGGCATCTATCCCTTCATTAAAAAAATTAAGCTATCCAATACAACCGAGCGCAATACATTATTATTCTTGAAATCCAGGTCAATAACAAGGTAATCATGTGGTGTACACGGCGGCTGAGTCATCGTATTCCGATAACAATTTATATATATGTACATACTTGAGAAAGGAAAAGAAATGAGAAGACCCGTGAAGCTCAAAACTAATATTATGTGACTCACTTGTCGGCTACTAATTTCCACTGGGTCTGGTTGAAAGATCGAACTTCTACGCTATAACCGGTGACCATGCAACCACCGTCATAAGCCGGACTAGACCAGGTCACGTCTGCACTGGTCTCAGACACCGAAACAATAGGTCTGCCAGCCGGAGGATCTGGAGGTCCTGTCAAACGTTTTAAAATGCAATAATGTTTATACATACAGAACCGTTTAACAACGTTGAGCAGACATTCTCAGTGCGCATACACAACCGGTTTAACTGGACGATTTTACAGTAATCATGTAAATCATTTTATAATATCAATAGTCGTTCACACGTAAGAGGTGGTGTTATCGCGTTTGTGAGTACGCCGAGTGCCAAAGCGAGCGAGAAAATGCATTTAACGTAATGTTTTATCATAATTAATTAACTATAACGTTTGACGAAGAACGTACGACGTTGTAGCACACGCGAGTAGATCGACGAAACAATTACTACAGTTGACGAAAACTATTAATTTCGTTCGTTAAAAAACAACGCAATAATTGTAAAAAGTAATGAAGACACTCCCGAGAGCGAAATGTAAATTTAGCTGTCAAGTGGCACTCCCGTTAACTATTAAATAATACCAGTCGTTGTTATTGCCGTTTATTTCTTCACTATTACTTTACTACTGCTCTTGTTGTAGGTCTGTCAATACTATAAAAAACTGCTCAGATATTGTAAGTCGCATCTTACGTGCATCACTCACAAGTCTCAAATAAAATAAATCTCAAATCTTATTCTGCCCGTGGCTAAATTAATTACGTAGTTTGGATTGGTGTTTTTTTTTATAAATTACCTTCAACAGCTACCGAAGCGTAGTGATAATCGTTTCCTAGGCCGTTGTCGACACGGACTGCGTACTTTCCGCAATCATCAGCTGTGATGGACTCGATGGTCAAACTAGAGATTCCGTCCGTGTTGCTAATGCACAAGTGTTCGTTTGATTCTAATATTTTGCCCTGTAAACATCATGTTCATTCATTAGCACTGAATGAATCATAGTATTACTAAGTGGGGTTTTCTAATGTCTTTTGACGCGCTATAGAAACTTAATACCTTATCTCTCAATACGTTACAAGCAATAGCTAAATATAATTATTGTAATAGCTTTGTGTTTTTGTAACGACATTATTATAATTATAATTACCGCTCTAAGCCATTGTATGAGTGGTTCAGGTTTGCCGGCATATGAAGTTTCCAAGACCACTCGAGCGCCACGCATTACAGTCGTGTCGCACGGTCCCCAGAGAATGTTGGCCGGCAATGTATTGATCTGATCTCGAGGAGCATAATCAGATTTTTCCGACAAGCTCACATTATTGTTATATTCCATCGTTATTTTTTGTTGTTCGGCGATTTCAGGAGTGATTTCTGTGATTTTATCATTTTAATAATTAGTATAATAATGTATAAAATTAACGGTTAAAAATATTTGTAAAATTATTACCGTTTACTTGAAGTTCACCATATGAAATTGCCTCACCATAACAGTTCATAACTTTACAACTATATAGACCACTGTCTGCATTAAAAGGATCCGCTATAGCTAGACAAAAAATTCCATTTTCTTTAGTAACATAAGTGAAGTCGTTACAATCTGGGATGAGTATATCGTCTTTGAACCATGTTACACTCATAGGAACTGCACCTATCAACAATTAATATCAAACAAGTTATAACATATTTCCACAGGTAATTTATTTTTATTTTATCTACACTTTGATAAGTATTGTTAGATTTTTCATAGTTATTACGGTGAGAGCTGTTTGAAACATAATTTTTGTTGATTTGAACAATTATCCATATTTTTGTAAAAAAAAAAACTCTACGGCAGTTGACACTACGCATTTTGAATTGATTTTAACTTAAAATTTTGTACAGCGTTTGCCTTATGTTAAAAAAAAAATTATTAAAATTTATCAGATCGATAAAAGTTTGAAAAGTAAAATAGAACATTTTAAGCATGGTAAATTTGATATCTATACATTAACCAATAATTACCATTTTTGTTCAGAATAATATTATTAATAAAACATTTATTTCTAATTAACAGCAATAAAGATTTTTTTTATAAAATAAGTCATATCAATGAAAAATGATTCTAAATATTTAAAATACCTTGAAGTTTTACAGGCAACTCGATTTTTTCACCTTCTCGAGTTATTAGTTTAGGAACAAGACCCTCGACAAATATTGGAGGCTTTAAGTACGGATCTTTGGCTGTGTTTGCATCAAACACGGATAATTCTGAAGAGCATTTAGTTACTCCGGATTCACATTTCGCTATACAAGTATACACACCCGTATCGTCGGACTGTAAGTTTGAAATCGAAATTCTGGCAACTAGGTCGTCCCTATTAGTGGTAATTCGATCATTGGGTATGATCTCTTCGTCATTTCTGAAAATTATAATCGCGTACCCAGTATTGTCATTAAAGTGAGTAAGATTTTTAAGTGCTGATTTTCTTACTTGTACCAGGTTACATCTGACATAGAGTTACCTCTAATGTCACAGCTCAACGTGAAACTATCCCCAGTACAAGCCGTAGACCCTGACTGCTTTCTACCTTCGTTAGGCCGTGGAGTATGTTTCGTGGTTATTTCGACGTCGTTTCGAACATCGTGACTTGCTACAATACAATTATAAAAACAAAAATTACTAAGTAGTAATTATTAAACATATTTATAAAACTCTAACACTTCCACCACAATAACCTTTAACTCTGACGAGTTTTGGGGTCATATCACAGTGGGTAATTGCTGTTTAGTGTCTGTGTGAAATAAAAAGTAATAAATGTTAACATAATACATACGTAGTACTTGGAGTTTGGCTGATGTTTGAATCTTGCCGTACTTGTTTTCTACTGTCACCGTATAAAGACCGGCATCTTCGGGGATTATGTCACATATTTCCAAAGACCTAAAATCGTCGTCTTCTCGAATTCTTATTCTACTGCTTATTCCAATAGGTTCGCCGTCTTTTTTCCATGACGACCAAGGTGGAGGATAACCCGATACACTACACTGGAACCGAACAGTATCTCCCACGTCGACAATCTTGTCATGGAGCACAGCGTAAAATTTCGGGGCACTACTCCGTTTTAATCTTCTTGAGCTCCTTTCATTGCATTCGCCTGAATATTTCATTTTCAATAATACAGACATTTTTTAGCAAAATTTTTAGTTGTTTCTACTAACCAGCGAGTATAGGCGAACTTATCATAGTGTTTTTCTGTGCGTCTAACAAATCACTTGAATTTGTTTCATCAGAATCTAAAATAATGTGTTATGAGTATGGTTAAATTTTTTTTAAGTACATTTAAATAGAAAAACCTAATAATTTCAAACGAGCCGACGTCGAGTCTTGGCCTAATTCGTTGTAGGCAGTGCAAGTGTAGACACCGACGTGCGAAGGGTTGACTTTGGTTATTTCAAGACGAGCCGTGTCACCGTTAACTAACTCGGATTTAAATTCTTTTCCTAATCTAACCAACTACAACGCATACACAAAATCGTTTAGTTATATTTTGATTTTTATACTATTTTTATTTCCACTCACTTTGCCGTCTTTTTGCCATTTAATATCTGCTTCCGGAGTGATGTTCAATTTGCATTCAAACGATACGATATCGTTCTCTGAGCACACAACGTCCACTAACGGTCGGCTTATTCTTGGTAATCTTTCAACAGTTCTAAATCAAAACGGAAAGTTGGTTTACTAGTAGTGTCGCTTACCAACGATGCGCGTGAATTGGTCTTACGTTTTGCGGTTGATTCCATTTTCCATAATATTTTTTTTGCCGTGTCCTAAAACAATATACAAAAGGGTCACGTAAAATGGCTGTAGCTATGCAAATGTCGATAGGGTATGTGAACAGAATGAAGCTTACAAAGGTGTACGTTTGTTTACGTGATTTTTTTTACAATACAAATATAAATTGTACATTTTAATTATACGGGTCGCCCCATTCAGTGGTGTTTATTCGCTTTAATTATAATTCACTACGAGAAATCTTCCTTGTCGATTATCAAAATCCGATTGCTCTACGATTTTTGGTGATTTTTTTTACAAAATAAATTTATGACTCACCTGCCGAATACACCTGAAGTGATATCAGCGTTTTGATTTCGCCATGCGTATTGGATGCCAGCAAAGTATAAGTGCCCGTGTGACTGATTTTGACGTGAGGTATTTTCAACTGGTATCGACTTCCGGACGACAGGCACACAAACTCCGATCCGTCGCGATAGTATTCAGGCTGTGGAACATAAACAAAACGATATTATTATTCGGTTAACGATTGATCGAACGCGCGAGCGTCCTATCTAAAAAACGAATTCAACCGACAATGACCGCGGTCTAAACGTGACTGCGGCAGAGTTGCAGCTAGTGTTACTCTCGCGGACCGGCAATCGAATCGTGATCCCTTGAAATGTGATACGACCGACTAGAAAAACAGCTGCGCCGACGGGTGTAAGACGATAAAGAGTAAAACGGTTTCCTATCTACGACCAGTGCAAAGGACTTGACATCTTTGGACACGTTTTCGGATTGCCGTAATATAGTCGTTAAAACAATAGAATCATTAACGCAGACGCCACTGCATGGTAATCCTGGTAATGCATGATGCATTGTATCAGATAATAAAACAACAATTGGAGCGACAGTACAATAATAATAGCAATACAGTGACGCAGTACTTTATGTAAAAAAACTCATTGATGTCTTCTTGACATTTTATTACAAATGTTTTGAAAACGCGTGGGCACTGTATTTTCCCATACTGACCAGGAAAGGAAATCTTTTCTATTATGGACATGTAATATACACGGGCACAGGTACATATTTACGGCAGATATTGTCTGTTTACTCAACAGTTATGAGACGTTTACGCAATTCATCATAAGACGGTGCATGTAAAAAGAAATTATTAAAGATATTGTTTTCCTTCGGATTACACGGTTTTTCTTTTTTCAACATTCCAAGACCAGTTCTATACGCTTCATTTATTTCTACACCAAGTATTTTTTTTTTTTTTGTATTATTATTTAGTTCAATTATAAATTCCATAAAATTAACTCGACGTACGTAAATGGCGAACTTTGGTCATTTAAAAAAATTCACAAGTGTTAATCGAGATAAACCATTTAAAAATATAAAACACAAATAATATACTGATCTTATTCGCATAGTCAGAAAGTACTATGAAAGGCGGCGTAAATTATGTGCTACTGATAATTAGTGAAACAAAAAAAAAATGCAACTTGTGATATTTACTACTTGAAATTAATGACCCGGTCAAACGCACACACTATACTCGTGCACAAATATAATTTACTCACACTTATTTCATACATAATTTGTATAAGTATATTTATGTAATAGTATTTTGCGAATAATATTCGGACAACACGGTTCTGAGTACCACTTAAGGTTTGCTCAGAGCTTATATTTTGTTCTTTATATGGAGTGAAAGCCACCTCATCCAAGGCAGGCATACACCAGCAACGGTGTACTAAGTCTACACGGCATAGAGAAACAATATTTTATGTACACATGCTATTTTTTTTTTCTTTATGTATTGTTTTTAATATTTGAAATTACATATTTTTAAAAGATCCAAGAGATTTGTTTGAATAATATTAAATAAGTAGGCGAATACGACAAAAATAAAATTCACGATGTTGGACTTGTACGTTTTAACGGTTTTTTAAACTTTACTCGGAATCATTAATACAAAAATAATGCCTACAAGGACATTAATACATAACACCATACGCCATTTAATGTCTTTTTACAACCCATTAACTTCTCGTCTAACCTACAATGAACTATGGTCTTGACATTTTTTTGACAATTGACGATTATACAAACAGTCTAATAAATTAGAATTCAAATGTTATTTTTTTATATTCATACTTGTAATATTCTAAGAAATTTAAAATCTCTGAAATATAGCCTGTCGGATTCGCCCATGAAATATAGCTCAACCCTATTTGATAAAAAAATAATCAGCTATATGTACATACAGCTATATGGAAAACGTGTACATTTTGTTCTTAATATTACTCTTCCGTTAGCAGTGCTCGCACGTGACGTTTATTAACATAAAACAATTGGTAAAAATAACACTATCAGCACATTGGTGAATCCATTCAAAACACCTTGTCAAAATATATCAAACAAGGAATAATTATTGTATATAATTATTAGTACTTATAGTGCTTAAAATTAGCACTGGCATGTACTATGTCAGATTTTTTAAATATTTCATACAATACTATTTATTGACTATTATTAAAAATATGACAACCGGAATACTTATGTTTTCTACAAATATCCATTAAGTGAAGTAGTTCAGCGATTGTGTGATACAGTGACCTGTACACGTTTTAAAAAGAAGAGTTTGGCTGAGTTCCAACTTTCATGTAAAATATGTCTTAGGAGGCATGTAATGTATTAGAGTTTATTATTATTGTCAACTGTATTAAAAATCTATGCAATGTATCATTTTTGCACAGATTTCACTACAATAATTACATTATGGCCTTATGCGAACGAAATCAGAAATAATATTTATTTGAATTTGCAAATTACCGGTATAGTATTCTATAAAAATAACAAATATTGTCAAATTATTTTTTAAACATTTTCATAAAAATAATATAATTTTTACTATAATGGTTTTTAAATAATTCATCCTATTTTGCATCTACTACAATAGTTTTTTTAGTAGTAGTTTTCAGTAACTATTCTAGTTATTTTTGCCAAAAATTATCTGAATCAATATCCATTAGTGTTACCAAACCCATATTAACTGACAAAAAATACTAATAAACATTAATTGTTTTTAAGGATCTCATATGTATAGTGTTTACTGTGTTTGAAGTACTCAAGATAATAAATACAATTGAGTCATAAAAAACTTTCAAAACAAACAATTAAATATTACCGTTAATTATATTTAATCAATTAGTTGATATTTGTTGTTTCTACATTATCATTGTATATTTTTTTAACATTGAAAAATTAATTTGTTAAGTTTGAAAATAATTATAATGTTGACGAAATAATTGCAATTCTAATCATAATTTTTGATTAGAAAATTAGAACTTTTTGTTTTGAAAAACGTTTTGGTTGCGAGATTGTACAAAACGCGGAATAGAACTTTGCTTGATAAGGTTCATAGATAAGCTTCGAGCGACAATTGTGACATTATTTTACTATTCGTGTGACACGAGGGTTTTACAAACTATTGACGGAGTTGTGATAACGCCAAGAATGTCAGTCAGGTAAAAAAATAAAGTTGATATGCCGAAGGTGATTGTCATGTGTCAGACACATTTGATAAATCAATCGCGTTAAGTAGCGCATAATCAAACAGATCACCGGCCACACATACGTCATTACATATCGTTTCTTTAGTAAATGTACTTTTATTCAAATGCACGAATAAAGAAACCTCGGAAATACCTTACATCATTTCAATTTTAATGATATATGTTTAATTATTATAACAGTTTGCTCCTCAATGATGTGATTTTTAGAATAAATTCAATTCAATTTTTGTTCTTTTGCAAAGTTCAATAGAATTTAATATTAATATTGAAATGTTCGTATATAGTAAACCAAATTCCAGCAGATGCTTAGTGAACAGCAGATACCAACCTAGTCATTTTTCAATGATGCGACAATGGTATCAGAGTGTTTATTTTTATCTAGAACAGCTAATAACAAATCCGTAGTTGTCATAAATTGTTGGTTAGTCATAGAGTACAGGAAGGATAAAAAAATGAAACTATGTGGAATAAAATTCAGGTTAATGTGTCTAAATGCATTGGTTTACACGGTATTAGGTGAGACAGTCATTGACGACGTAGAGATTTCGATGCATGACATGTAGATATTTTTTATCTTAACATTACAGTAGCGATTATAAGGCATACACTACTTTTGTACCTGTTGAACGGGTAATGAAATCGGCCTTGCAAGGACGCGATTGATGATTCGTAAAAGTGCCGCTTTTTATATCAATTTATAAATTATATACTAGTTTGTAAAAAAATATATACGCATTTTTTTTTTTTATATAACATATGCGAAAACATGTTGCGAGTACACACTCTGGCCATTGTCACTTACGGTTTTTGCAATTACGCATGTTCATTTTTTTTACTACTGCTAATTTTTTTTCTTCTTTTGTCTTCTAGAACGGTAACAAATTTCGCCCACAGCCGAAACAATAATACTCAAGTTATTGTAAACAATAACAATATAATCGTTACCGAAAAATAAATGAGCGCACACCCAGCACACCCGATGAGTGTAGTTTCGAAGCCAATTTGACCAAATAAGGATAAAGTAAAATAAACTCAGTGTACAATTGGAGACAGCCGATGAGACAATAATTTACGTTATAATTTGAAACACATTACACGCCCGTTGCGTATTCGCTACTTAAGTGTGTACATATTCATTTAACGATTAGGCGTTAAGAAAACCTCTCATAGCTGGTACACTTGTTGCTACTTAATAAGTGATTATATAACATTTGTAATGTGTCTATATGCGTACGATTTATGATCCCTCTATAGTCATTGGGCTTTTTGCATCGTTTTTTTTTCTACTTCTATGATATGAAATCATTCTTTAATCTTCGAGACAACTCCGAATATAGAATCTCCAGACAACTCTATAAATCGTTTACATAGACAGCCAACCGTGTAAAACAACTGCACAGCCACTCTTCGTTGGCTGCTTTTTGAACTACTTACAACTAAAACATATTGAAGTCTTTTGTAGTCTAGAATTATAGTCGCGAATTTTACGTCAAACAAAAAATTTGTTTATTTGTACGTCAAGGTAATGTACCCAAAATTAGATAGAAACAATAGACGGTATTTTTAATGTAATATTAAATATCGGATGGTTTGAAGTGTCAAATTTTGATTAATACAGGAATATTAAACGCATGAAGTACCAAGAAAAATTTAGGTAGCAATTACAAGAAACTAAGCGGCCAAATTTCACAGGTATTCGATTTCAAACAATATTCATCTTCTAATAAAACATTGCAAATCTATAACATTTTATAACAATGTACTTGTTTATACAGTTGTATCATAAAAAAAGATATATGTTTAGCGTTATAATTAACTTCGTTTAAATAATGAATTATAAAAAATTGATTCATTAAATTAATCATTTTATCTGCTACTATTCTTTTTTAAAAACTTCATAATATTGTATCCTGACTGC